TKCTGTTTCTAAGAGTTTCTGAAACAGTGTTTGTATAGGTTACTGATTTAATTAATTAACCAAACACGTGGATTTTTTTTAATATAAATTTCAGGTTTGTTCACATTTAATTGTRTCTTCCTATCTGCATCATGTGCTTGGAGATTGGGACGTAAATCTGCCTTTATGTGGCAATGAGAAACTTTGTAAAGCCGTACTAATGAGGAAGAAAATGAACATTAATTAAACTTGCGGTTGCAGGATGGGCTGAGGCTCTGGAGTCCTGAAGCAGCCACTGGATGGGCTCCTTCATTACAGCCCAGAGCAGGGAGCTGTGATGTGAATGGCAATGAGCAGACAATTAAGTCGCTCACCAAGTGCAGAGCCAGAGAGACATTTAATTATCCACAGGAGCTAACGCTCCCAAACCTGGAGTTTTCTGTAGATCTAAATATGCCAGGCAGTTTTTTTTTGGTTTTTTTTTTTTTTTTTTTTGTCAAATTAGGCTTCTGAAGAATGTCTTTAGAAATGCAAGAGGGGCTGGGGGTGCTGAGGAGAYGGGAAAGAAACGTGATTTTCAGCTGAGCTCTGCGGTGTGGTGGCAAAGTGCCGGCAGGGTTCCTGAGCTGGAGGGGAGATTTGGGCTGGAGGGGAGATTTGGGCTGGAGGGGAGATTTGGGCTGGAGGGGAGATCTCCGTGATGTGGGATGGGATTTGTGTCACTAACCTAGGCACAGAGCCCATGTGGCTGTGCCCATTGCCAGTGTGTGTCAATCCTGTGGAAGCCTTGGGAGGAGGCTCCAGGGATGCACAGGAACCTTGTTACCCTTCCAAAGAGATTAGCAGAGCTCCAGACCCCAACTCCGTGTGATGCCATGGACTCATTTGTGTTTTATCAGTGTGATTCGTGTCATGATTAGACAGGACAGTCACTCTCAGTGTTCCTTGTGATTTTTTTCCTACGTGGCTTTAATTTCTAAACAACYGCCTTGCTAACCTTAGCAGAGGTTTTGATTCTCTGAACTGCCATTTCCTTTTGATTAAGTGTTTTCTGCTCTAGTCTTTAATGCGTATTAATGAGAGCCAAGCAGTGCTTGACTTGAGTAATTTGCAGCTGGGATCTAAAAGCCTATGCAAGGAAGGCCTGGGGATGCCCTGCTTTGGGAAATTGTGGGATATTGTRGGCTCTTTGCTACAATTTGCTGCATTCCAAAGGCAAACATTTTCCTGTTAATTTATATTTTCATTAGTCTCAGGACACAGCCGCTGCTGCCATCATCAATATTCCCATATTCAGTTCAGTTTCAGGTTAAAAGTCCCAGAGRTGTATGGGAAGAGGTCAGAGCTTAGCATTTTTTTCTGGAATTGGATTTCTTTTCCATAGAGGTGCCCAATCCCATGCGTGGCTCTGAACTGCACAGTGTGTGTGTGTGGCTGCAGGGTGCTAGTGTAGGGTGARCACTGCTAATCCATAATGCCTGGAGGTACAGCATTCCTGGGGTGGGTGGTGAGCAGTGCAGGATAGAAAAACACTGTTACCAGCAGGTACTTTTAATCTCTTAGCTTGTGAAAGCACCTGCTGTGATTCTGTTCAGAACTTTTGGGGAAACAGATAATAGAAAACCTTTAAACTGTTTTCACATCTCGTGGGGTGAATGTCCAGATGATGATGGTCCAAGAATTTTCTGGTGAAGGTGAAGGGTGTGAGCAAACCCCTGCTGCCTCATTTTCTGCTCTGTTCCTTGTTCGGCTGTGCACAATACTGGTGTTGAGTTGATGACAAAAAGCAATCTCCCTTCCATGGGGGCTTTTTGAGGGCATTCTGAGTAGTATCAGAAAAAATGCATTAGGCGGTTCTTCTCCAGCTTTTCATGTTTAAAGCATTTGGCAAAAAAAAACCCAAATCAGGCCTTGTAATTATCCTGCAAGACTGTTGTTATGCTGGTTCAGAGGTGGAGAAATGGAAGTAAAGAGGTTAAATGTCTTGCTCAAAGCAGTAAGGAAATGTGTGGTGGAGACTTTCAGGAGCCCCACGTATTTCTTAATGAATCATTTATAGCTGTGGTTGTATTATTAGGCAGATGACTTGAACTGAGGATTGCTGTAGGAACTCTGCCTTGCCATCCAAATGAATTTTCTTCTGMAAGTCTGAAACAGCCATTTTTTCTCATTTGATTTCATGACAATATGTTGGCTAAATCAAGGACTGTGTAGAACATGTGATATATAAAAATATATAATTCTTTTACAGTTCAAACACACGTTCTTTCCTAATAATGATGATCAAAAATAATTGATGCGTTTCTCAACACTAAAGAAAAAGAGAAATTCCAGTGTAGTCCAAGATTAAAATAAGAAAATAAATATTCAGCCATGCAGGGGCAGGAGTTGGGTTTCAATGGTCTTGGGGGACCCCTCCAACTCAGGAGATTCTATGTTTCTATGTTTGAAGGTCAAATTCCTTCCTTTCTACACCCCAGCAGAATTAGGGGGGATGCTGCCCTGGGGATGYACAGTGTCAAGTCCATCCAAGAAGCAGAGTGTGGAATGAGAGCACCTGATGGATGTCYTGCTCTTGGCAGCTTCCAGGGCCACAGGAATTGCCCTGCACACAAAAGGGCCAGTACCAGGCCCAAAGAGCTGCTGSAAATTTCAGTGTTTAAGTCTGGTTTTATGTCTTGGGGTCCAGCATTCAAATATCTGTTCTGTTTAGTCTTACAGCCTGTCCCAGGGTGTCACCTTCATCTTCTCAGGGAGGAGAATTCACTCTGACCGACTTTTCATTTCCAAAAGGCCACCATGCCCTGGAAGCTAAAGTTCACCTATARAAGTTGTTCTGTCCAATCAGTTCAGATACTGATTGTAGAAGTTGCTTATCTGTTCATTTTMTTAGAAGATCTAAATTCCTCCAAACCCCCATCACTACTCCCTGCTGCTCACAGTGTACATCAGTCTTTCCCCCRTATCCTGAATTATGGTCTACATTCCAAACTAAGGCCTGGCATTGGCTGCTTAGCTAATATTAGTCCTAACAAATCYAAAAATACATGGGAACATGTGCACAACTATGGAGTTTTTGGTTTTTGCAAGCAAAAATCACATTTTTTTTCACATGGCAGTCAAGCTCTCAGAGTATTTCTCCTGGGTGTACATACAAAGTGTGCATCTGTGATGTGTAACCTGTGATGTTGAACTTGCAAATGCTTGTTCCTTCTTGATGTTTAGCTGTGCATTTATCATAAAAAGATTTCCCAATTTCTGGATATAATATTTAATATCCAGAAGAAGTGTGTGTGTAATGCAATTAGAAYGACATTAAAAGGAGAGTAACGTCAAGTCTGAATTTTTCATGTATTCCACTTTACAGTAAAAGATCAGATGCTGTCTCCCTGGGTTCAGCACTTATTTTCTTGGTTGTCTTGGCTTCCTTGAGCTGCTGAGCCTGTCTCACCTTTTTGGKGTCTGATGTAGAATCTAAATTAGATAAGAAGAAACAAGACATGATTTCAAATTCAGTTTCCTTTATACAGGCAGGATGGCATCAGCTTAAATGGCTTCGATATACTTTTGCTTCTTTAATCCTTCCTCTTCAATCTGTTTTTGTATACATTATATATATGAATTCTGGGACTGGAAATCTTGCCTAATGTAAGTTAAGACATGACAAATGAACCTGACATTTTTCCAAGGAGRGAACCAGTGAACATACTGTATTTATAGCAGTAGGAATGTAGTTTGCTGCTTGTAGAAGAAAAATATGTGTTGTATGAGAACTTTGGTGCTGGAATATGATAAGAATGTTTAGATGATACTTATTTCAAATGAGGATACTGGGTTCTAAGGAGACAAAGAGGTTCTGCTGGAAGGTTGAGGTAGGGCTTCACAGAACAGAGATTTTGGGGCCCAGAAGCTGAGACAGCAAGAGAAGAGTGTCAGTATTGACATGTTCTCCTGTGTCCAGTTTGAAACTCTGGTGACTTCAGGGTCAGAGTGGGAAAGAACCTGATGAAGGAGCTTCTGAAGGCTGGATCTGGGACAATTTCATTCGTGTTAATAGAAAGACTGTCTGCAAGCTGAGAAAGTCTGAAGCTGAAGTTCTCAAACACAGATGTGTGAACATATGCAGGAAAATTGATCCCAGCCAACCATCTCTGCAAGCAGCTCTTGGCTGCTGTGACCTCCTGCAGCAGGGTGGGACTGCAAGAGGAGGCAAGCCCAGGTGATCCAGGTGCCCAAGTTGTTTCAACTACGTGAAGATGATGAAAAGTCCTTTTCTTTTTTAAAGTTTCCAGTCTTTATGAGGGTTTCCCCTGACCACAATGATAATTGCTTGGATGAYATTCCTTTGAGGTGATCTGTAGAAGTGCTAATTTATTTTTTCATACCAGGGTATCTGGTTCAGTCTGAATAAGTTCTGTTTTTTTTCTTAGCAATGTACTACTGACACTCAAACTAGTTGTGACTAATTCTTGAAAGATTATTTTGTAGACTGAACCCTTTGTGTCAAGGGGGAAATAATCACAAAGCKTAGCTGCCTGAATGTACGATGTAGTATTTTTCTATTTTGCTCCTGAAGAGAAAGGCTGACTCTGCATCTTTTGACTGTTGAGCTGCACATCAGGACCAGCTTATGRCACTGATCTGATCCTTTATCTAACAGAAATAGCAAACACTGGAGAGATCTGGGCCTGATGGATAGCTAAGGTCATAGTAACTTCCACTGTAGATGTTTTTAAATGGAAGCAGTATTTCCTAGACAGATTCTTAGACCTGTACTTGGCTCATGTGGTTCAAGGAGAAGTCCTTTTGGTTCAGGGTTGTACCTTTTGTCCTTTATTGTCAAGCTGGGAAAATGATGCTTCATTTTGCTCTAATAAAGAATTCACCTGGTTTCCTCTCTGCATCCTAATTGCTCTCTGGAGAGCACTAAAGTGTGCTTAAGCATATTGTAGCTGTTTACTCGCAGCGTCTGCTGCATGTGCAGTAATGCAAAGTGTTCCATCTCTGCCCTGTCGCTGCAGGCTGGCATGATTCGCACGGACAAGGACGAGTTCTTCATCGAACCCCTGGAGAGRGGGGCCCAGGAGGAGGAGGAGGGAGGAGGCAGAACACACGTGGTTTATCGCAGAGCAGCTGCCAAGCAGCAGCTTCCTCTTGAGAGCCTGGATACCGTGTACAGAGGTAAGGCAGGCCTGGGATGGAGTGCAGCTGAAGGCACGTAGCCAATGTGATCTGCTGCCTCTGGCTTTTGTATCCTTCAAGGTGGAAATGTGGTGTTCTCCCTCCAAGGAGGGAAAAGTAGGGAAGAGTTGAACCCTTTTTTGGGCTAAATGAACATTGCAGCTGCCAAAACCATCTCCAGCGTGGTGGTGCTGCCTTGGCTTTGAAGAGTTTCCTTGGCCCCAGAGATGGCCAACAAAAAGTCCTGTGTGCCCTGAGCCCTGGCTTAGAGCAGAGGAAGCAGATGGTGGGTGGCACAGCGGTGCAGGGGTGGCTGTCCCTGCTGGGACAGGTGGCAGTGTGGGTTTTGCAGATGCTCTGCTGGAAGGCTGCAACAAGGACAGTGAGGCTGGCGTGGTACACAGGCTCCAGTGACAGTGTCTGCCCTGGGCTGGATTAGCCCCAACAGGAAAATAATGGTATCTTCACTATGAACACAAACTTTCTTGATTTATGTGTTGCCAAGCGTGGAATTTAACGTACTAAGTATGTGACAGACAGTGATGGAATAACAAGAATTAAACATAAACACCCATTCTGTGTAGTGTTTTCTSTTTCTCTGATAACTGCTTGGTTATTGCACCTTTTTTTTTTCTGAATAAATAAGGGATGCAAATCTGCTAAGTGGATGTTTTGACAGCTGATGTTAACACTGAAATTAACTGGGTCATTTGAGTGGAAACAACAAAATAGCTACATTTTTGTTCCAAATGTGTGTACCAAACTGCAGAGTTATTTGTCACTCATACCCTAGTATTATTTTATTTCAGTATAATGGGGCTTCAAGTATAGGAAGGAAGGAACAGAGAGCCACAGGGGTGAAGCACTGAAATTAGGGCCGTGAGAACAATAGAAATTTCTCAGYGTTCAGGCTGGAATAAGGATTTAAAAGAAAGCAAGCAATAGCATTCAACCAATTTTTTTCTCCACTTTGGAAATGACCCATGAATTTTGTGACTGACACAGTGCTTTGCTGGACTCTTCTGGTTGCTTTTTTATTCACTGTGGAGCAGAGCTGGGTAATGCAGGAGTSTGAGCATCACAGTCCCAGAAGGATTGGATGGTAGGTATGACGGAAGTTGCTCTATTAGTTGATGTTTATAAAATCATTTCATGTCAGAAAATACCAGCCKCTCACTACATTTCCTCTCAAACAAAAGAGGCTTGATGTTGTTCACACCTTATGGCRGTATTTTTGGTTTTGGATGGTAAATATTCCTGAGGAGTAGGAGTCTGGTACACAGAAAAGCACAAACTGTAGCTGAGCTCCAGTTGCTGGTAYCTGCTGGAGGAGGCTGTGACAGCAGCACAGCCACACGCCGTGTGTGATGCCACCAGACTTGGTGTCTGTCACCTCACCTGTGTCAGGGCTGCAGCTYTGTAAACTCTGCAATCACAGCCAGCAGCCAGCACTGTGGGATTGAAAAGCAAAAGGGAGGGTGAACCTGTGCAGGATGGGCTGAGCTGTAGCAGTGACCTTGTCTGGAGCAGCAGGGGTTGGGGATAGGTAGGAATAGTTGTGATATTTCATATTTTTAAACTAAGGAAAAAGTGCCGAGGGCAGTGATCTTCCCTTCAACCCCATCGCCTTTTGATTTGTAAACTTGATTAAAAATTAGTTTTTTGTTTTGGGAAGAAATCCCACTGTTACCAATAATCAATAAAAAAAATCACCTGTACTGTAAAGGGGATTTTTTCCATGAAATTGTCTTTGCCTTTAACAAAAAAAGTGAACAACCACTCCAAAATGGTTTGTTCTTTACTTTTTATTAAACCTGGCTTCCCATTTCTGGTTGCTCTAGGCAAAAGGCCATGGACAGGATGTGCTTTCAGAAATTGTGATTTTATTTTCTACTTGGTCTTTTTCCAGAATACGTTGAGTTTTGGTTAACAAGCACCCAAATTTTTGGTGATTGGGCATTGATAAGCATGCTCTGCTGGGTGTTTCCATAGTGCTCTAAACTGATCGATGGGCTGAGTTAGGAAATACTTAGTAGGGCACTTTCAGCATGCTGTATCTATTAAAAAAAGGAAAAAAAAAAGGTTAACCAAGAGCACTCCCCTTTTTTCCAATATCCCTGGAGACAACTGCGTTGTTGCCAAATCCCATAAATTTACATGTGATGAATTGTAACACTTGGACTATTTTTAAAGGTCCAGCCTCCAGGAATCTTATGAATATGTGATGATTTTTTTTCCCTAGGTGAGCTTCTGATTCTTTTAACTGTTGATAAAAAACRTGTCGTTTCTGGCTGTGTAAATATTTTAAGGTAATGCATGACACAAAGTTTATGTATTCYATAATTTTTAAAACAGCATCTTTCAGAATCCCATGATATGTTAATTTAATCCCATGATTTGGGAGGGGATTGTGAGTCATGATTTTTGAATGTTTTGGTTTGGATAGATAGATACAAATTCCTTATAAATATTYCTATCTCTGGCATTCTTTTCACAAAAAATAGGACAAGCTGTTCTCTTGTCAGCGAAACAGGAGGTCAAGGAATTGAAAACTCCATGAACTTGGAGTTGAGAGGGTCAGTTCTCCTTTCAAGGCCTTGGGTCAGCCGTGRTCAGTGCTCACGCTGGACCTCACATGGCACAAGGGTTTGGGATTTATTGCTAAATGMAGATTTTTTGGAGGGTGGTTTGTTGAAGAACTCGATACCCCAAATCARTGTGCATTCCCTGTGGCTGCCCAGGCACAGAACTCCAACATGGGGGACAGAAGTGCCCTTAGGCTGGTGGGCAGCTGAACTTCCCCAAAACACAGCCAGGACTAATGGGAGATCCCTTGACTGGTTATGAGTGCGGATTCAAAACAAACAAACAAAAAAAAGAGCAAAAAAGAAAAAAATTGCATTTTCAACATCATGGAAAGAAATTCTAGATTGTGTCAACAGATGTGGTGAGATGGACCTGACAGCAGGGTTTCCCAGCCTTTTACATGTGCTGTTATCTATCTTTAATAAGAGAAATGGAGATTTTATTCCATCTGTCTRAAAATTACAAACCAACAAACCCCACAAGCTCCTAAGCCCAGCAGAGATCAAGGTGTGCATTTTGTGTTATGAAGGCTCTGCTGACGTGCTGGGTTTTGAGAATTGGAATGTTCTGGGGGAGATCTGCCCTGCCCCGCTTTYAGACCGTGCCAGGTTTGCTTCTGCATTTACGTAAAACCTTATCAGAAGATTGGGAAATGTAACTACTTGTTTTGGCAACCTGAATCATTTGTTTTGACTGGTGTGGGATTATCTGGTGTTCGGGAGAATCTCAGAGTGTGGGGTGTAATATTTCTGCCTGATCTTCCCCTCTCAAACAATGCTATTTGTTAATGTACTGGAAAAAATGTATTTTAGGAAAGTCATAATCTTCAGCAGAGTAGCACCGTGAAAGTCTCTGTGAGCTCACTACAAATTAGGTTAATTGTTTCTGAAAGAGAAATATTGTCATGTAGTGGTTGAAATATTGCAGGTGTGGTGAGAATAAACTATTTTTTCTGGCAACTGCTTTTAGTGCTTGCATGCATGTAATAATTTATMTTCCTCTAGATAAAAAGAAGCAGCATGTTGAACATATTTTAATATTTCCAGTTGAATTCCTTCTTATAAACATGAGAAATGTTCCTTGATGGCAGGTAAACTACCTACATAATAGAACTGGAATTAAACAGATAAGCTAGAGCTGGTTTTTTTTGTGAAACTGCAGGGTTTTTGCTTAAATGTTCTTTGGATGTTAACTGAAGAGATGGTAAGTATTTAATTAATGATTATGCTGAGGTCTGGAAAGCCAGCTTGATTTTTGCCTCTAAAGTCAATCTGATTATCAGGCTTGTAAGCTTTAATATCACATTTTCCCAGCTAAATTACCGTGTCTGTTATGTTGATCAGCTRAGAGGAAATGATTATACTAAAACTTCCTTAAGGTTTGCTTGCCTTTTCTCCAAAAATCRTTGTTTAGATACAGTGCTCTGAGTTTTATTGTATTGCTTGATTGATGAGAAACAGMAACTCAGCTTTAGTGACAGTTTTATTTACTGTGCAGATGAACGATGACCTTAGCCCAGAACAGTTTATCACTGATGAAGACAGAAAGGTAACTCCCCAAATATGCTTAAATCAGAAAGTTGTTGTATCTGTAAGTGCTAATTAAGTCCCCTGGAATGGCCAAACCCAATCTGACACAAGCCCCATCATGAATAGCTCTGGGCTGACAGGGTGGACAAACCCTCAGCATCTGCTGGAGACTTSTGAGCCCTTCCCATGGCAAAGTTGGGATTGCTGGAGGTCAGACCTGCAGAAGGCTCATGCTTTGGTGCTGAAAGATGGGATCATTTAATGTGACCCTGTGATGTCCTTCCTGGGGCAAACCCATTTTTCAGCTGTTTCCTTTTTTTTTTTTTTTTTTTTTTTCATTGAGGAGTTCTAACATCCCTGGTCATAAGCACGTGCCAGTCAGGTAAAAAGACAGAAATAATTGGCTGCTTCTACTCCTACTCCTTAGTGGTAGCCAGCTCCTTTCTGACAGACCCAAACCTCATCAGAGCAGAGCTGGCCCTCAGTCCTGTCACTGACATCTCCTGTCCCTCCACAATGAAAAAGGACAACACTCTTTGACGTTTAAGAACCCTGAAAAGTTAGGGGCCAATTCAGCAGGAGAGAAATCCATGCAAATTTACACTGAAACCGCCCCCCTCCAGAAGTTTTTTGAAAAGACGAAAGTTAAAAATATGATAAAGTTGTAACAACTCACTTGCCAGAGCTTTGCAGGTTTTGGAGATGATATTTCAGAGGAAGACTCCTCCATCACAGTCCATCAAACTGTCAATGCCATTGATTTACTAATGTATTTAAATTACTCTTTAGAAACCAACGTGCATCTGGTGTATATTTTTCTGGATTGCCTGAAAAGGCTCAGACTGGCTGCTGGCTGGCCGGTTGCCATTCTAATTTACAGAAACT